GAGGTAATTTTATTTATCAGATAATATAAATTTTAATCATAGTTATTATGATGATATTGAGTATAATATTTCTTTCATTTTTCAGGAACCATCTTATGTCATCTCTAACTCTGCTGATGAATGAAATTATGAAGATGGAAAAATATTACATTTTTGATAAAGAAATGAAATTTAGTTACAATGTAATTCTACTTGCAAATGTTTAATTTTGGACATTGTTTGTTTCTAGTTAATTTGAACATTATTTACTTTGAATTTTAAAATTTTGAATTTGTATTTAAAAATAAAAAATAAAAAAAATAAACGGGGCAGGAAACGGGGCAAGCCCCCGCCCCGCACCCCCCGTGCCCCGCCTTGCCTTAGACGGGGCACTTGTGGGGCGGGGCGAGGCGGGGAACCCGCCCCACTGCCATCCCTAGTATGTTCATATGTACACTTCTTAAAACCTTTCTTCAATAAATAAGCATCTACACGACTATACCAAGCCCATGGAGCTTGTTCGATCCATATGGAGTCTTTTTAATTTATACACTTTATGCTCACTTCTAATCTGAATATAACCTGGTCAATGAATACATATTCTTCCAAATCACCATGCAAGAATGTCGATTTAACGTCCAATTGAAAGATAGGCCACGAGTTTGGGCTGCTAATGCAATCATTATTTTGATTGTATCATATCTTGTAACAGAAGCAAAAATCTCTTCATAATCCACACCAAACTATTGTTTGTATCCTTTAACTACTAGACGTGCCTCATACTTATCAACTTTGCCATTCTCATTGAACTTTGTCTTGTAAACCCATTTGACACCAGTGGTTTTTTTGCCTTTTTGGAAAATTCGTCAGCTCCCATATGTGATTCCTTTCTATAGCTGCAATTTCATTATCCATGGTTTTGCGCCATTTCGGTTCTTTCATAGCAGCTTCAAATGTTTTGGGATCACAATTTGAAAAAAAAAAAAAAAAGGCATAATACGTAAGAGAGTTGTCAGACATGTCAGCTGGCCAATGGAGTATTAGAACGATCTATAAGGGCCTCTTTCTAACATGTTGGGGATGTTATATTCATCAAATTCTACTGATGTTTGTGGAGTTTTATCAGCTATAGAAGCTTTATTTGGTGATTTATCGGGTATAGAAACTGTTGTAATTTTGTTTTGTAGTTTCCGCTGCCTTTCTCCTTCATCGTTATTATCAAAATATGCTAGAATTTGCTATCCAATGGTATTGCAACTCCATGACCAAATACTTTCTTCATTGAAAATGACATCACAACTAACTAATATATAT